ATGAATGTGATGGTCTTCCGTTGGCAATTGTTACAGTTGCTGGCAGCTTAAAAGAAATATCTGAGCCACAGTTATGGGGTGCTGCACTGAATCAATTGAGAGATTGCAAAAGAAACGTGGCAGGTACAGATGATGATAATGCATTTAAGATATTAAAGTTCAGTTATGATCGTTTGACGAACCCAAAGATCCAATATTGTTTCTTATACTGTGCACTGTATCCTGAGGATTACAAGATTCTAACGGAGAAAATAATTGAAAACTGGATTGATGAGGGGTTTATAGAGGATATGGAAACTCGGCATGCAATGAAGGATGAGGGTTGTGATATTTTGAGGAAGCTTGAAGACAATAGCTTGTTGGAAGTCATTAAAGATGGACGTAAAGGAGATTGTGTGAGGATGCATGATCTTATTAGGGACATGGCCTTAGACATTACAAGAATGAGGCCTCGGTTCTTGGTAGAAGCTGGCAAGGCATTGAAAGAGCTACCAGAGAGGGTAAATTGTGCAGAAGGTGTTGAAACGGTTTCATTAATGCATAATTATATTGAAGAAATTCCATCGAGCTTGGCATTTTCAACATGCATAAGGCTCACAACCTTACTGTTGGCCCATAACAAATTGTCAACAATTCCAGAATTTGTCTTTGAGCACATGCAAGAGCTAAAAGTTCTTGATCTCTCCTTCAATCTGTGGTTAAGTAGCTTGCCAAATTCTGTCTCCAAATTGGTGAAGCTTACTACATTGTTGTTAGAATCAACATCCCTAGAAAAGGTACCATCTTTATCAGGCCTTGGATCCTTGAAAAAGTTAAACCTTAGGGGGACAAAAATCAAAGAAGTCCCTGAAGGCCTGGGAATGTTGAAGAATTTGAAATGTCTTTTTCTTTGTAGATCAAATCCTTCCGATATTCTTGAAATAGATGAAATAGCAGATGCAGTATTATTAAATCTCTCCAAACTTCAAGAGTTAATTGTAGATAACAGCAGAATAAAATTGAAGGGGAACGTAGTTGGGAGATTGAAGAAGTTGGAAGTTTTTCATGGCTGGTTCCCCACTGCGAATGAAATGAGAATCCTTCTCAAATGTCAGCCTAATAGGCTGAGTGACTATTTTATTAATGTTGGAAGCAATTCGAATGTGACTTATACTGTTACAGCAGAGTTACGAAGATACAAGAAAATAATGGTGTTCGAGGAGACTAGTATTGTTGGAGAGAATACATTACTTCCCTCCGTACAAGTATTATGTATTGAAGCTTGCCACGACATAAGAAGCTTAAATGAATTTTCTGGAATCAAAGATGCAACAGATTTGAGGGAATGTTGGATTTGGAACTGTGATGGCATGGAGTGTGTTCTTTCCTCGTGGATAAACAACACAGTCATCCAAACCCTTGAGTATCTGCTTCTTTATAATTTGCACAAATTGGATCGGCTGTTTGAAGCAAACGTCATGGTGACATCATCACCTCCACTTAAGGCTTTTTCATCTCTCAAAGTAGTTTGGATTGTGGAATGCAAAAAAATAAAGAAGTTGTTTCCATCGTGGAAGTTGGCAGAATATCTCCAAAGTCTTGAAAGAATCTACGTCTACGGATGTGAAGAAATGGAAGAAATAATAGGATCAGATCCAGAAGAAGAAGGAGAAGAAGGAGGGGACATCATCAAGGAGCTCATTCTTCCAAAATTAAAAGAATTAAAATTGTGGAAATTGCCCGCATTAAAGAGCATATGTAGCAGGAGGGCAGTAATGGTACGTGATTCTCTTGGATCTATTACCATTAGTGATTGCAAGGGCCTAAGGAGGATCCCTCTTTATCTTCCCCTGCTTGATAATGCCCAACCATCTCCTCCTCCGTCCCTCATGATAATCAACATATATCGAGGAGAACAGGAATGGTGGGAATCGTTGGAGTGGGACCATCCCAATGCAAAGGATGTCCTTCAACCCATGGTTCAATTTTATTAATCCATACGCGATTCCATCATCGAAGTCAGAAAAGTCGGAATCGGGGGAATATGCAGAAGATTGAAAGGTGAGAATCAATTTGCACATTTTAATTTAGGTATGACTCTCTGCAAATCTTTGTTCTGCCATTCATTTCCAACAAATTGAAGAATTTTTTCTGAATGAAAATGCATTTATATAAATTCCCTAAAAAAAACCGTATAGTAGTGCTTATATATAATTTCCCTTCCCCATGATTTTCAAGTAATGAATT